CCAGTTTGCACAGAGGTAAGCACATTTCTCGAAGTCGGCAACACCTCCAAACAACTTCTCAGTTGGTCCCCGGATATCAGTATCCGGGCAAACGGTGTATCGTTTCTAGAACGTCTCTTCTTAGCATGTAATATCGCATCGTAACGTCTCACGTGAGCTCACCTTGTTTCTTCCATACGTCCATTCGCCTGCAGGGCAGCGGGCGATGTTGACTTGCTCAGCCTGAACTACTTGATAACGATCGTTGGCAACCCAGTTCAAACCCGCAATTTCCTTGAAGTGGCAGTCCTTTGTCCGTGTATCATAAACGGCTTTGAAGCAGTCCATGCTCTTGTCACAGAGCTTTGCACATGCTGTGACAGAAGCGACTTTGGGTGTCACTGAGACTGTAGGACCAGTGAGATCGGTTCCTGGACATACTCGGTACCTAATACCCTGGGTACCGGTAAAGACTGTGTCGGTGCCGGGGCACGCATTAAGAGCATTAGTAGATTGGAAAAGAATGGCTGCAGAAAGCACTGCGAGAAGAGTTTGGGACTGCATCCTGGATGTCAACACAGAGTGCGGTGCCTGGAGACGTTTCCCAGGACGGGGCGCCAACCTGCTATATAGCTGTGCCGATATCCCAACTATCGATTCAATACTTCGACGCACACTGGGCCATACGAGTTTGCGAAAGTGGGTAGTGGCGAGACATGGAACGGAAGGGCTGTTGCCCTAGCATCGGAACAGGCAAAGTAGGCACCAGGAAGGGCAATGTGCCTGAGTAGGGCTCCTTGCAGACGATCATTCACATACCGTTGTTTTGTTATGGTCGATAGCGCTAAGTGACTTTGGAGTAAACTGTCAGGGGTTCATGCCATCGGTAGCGGGCCGAAAATCCAAATTCGGCTAGGGGCGATACTATTGTCGGTGGCATCGACCTCCCTAGAGTCATGCCGAATGCTGCGCCTCAGGAATCACACCAATCTTATCTGCCATGAGAAGGCTAGCTCACGCACCGAAGCAGTGCCGGCAGATGTTACTGGTTCATGCTACAATTCCCAAACGTTGGGGAACTACATTGGCGTAACGGTGCTCGCATATCGATGCCACTGTGGCTGCAGCCGCCATACACTGCGCGAGACGCTGTCGTTATCGTCGTGAAGGTATTAAGCGCTCGCAAAGGGAGGATTTTGTTTTTCTGCCAAGTTGCTTGAAACGCCAAGGCAACCCTCCAGTTAATCCCTGCGTACATCAGGGTGACGATAGCTACAAAGAGAATCTTTAGCCAGATACCCACCTCTGGAATATTGCCCCTGCCCCCTCAGTAGGAAGGATGTGCAGAACACGCCATTGGATATAGTACGTAGCCGAATACCCAGACCTATACTCTGCCATGTAAGAGCCGAGTCCACTCTGGCTGACGCAGTTTGTACTGTAAAAGTCTATTCGTGACGAAAGACTGACGGAAACACGACTAAGAGGCCGCATGTTTGCTTCCGGGGTCGATTCATGTGTGCGAGATGGAAACCTGGTATCGTTCAGTCAATTGAAACTTGATTTACTAGATACGAGCTTTGGGTCGTAGTGAGAACCAGTCCACCTGGGAGCTGGGAACTGTATGCCATCATAGATCAAGTAGTGTGCAACGCTCCCATGCTCCTAGTAGCGTATCCTTGGCACTGAGAACCATTTCTTAGCTGAGTAATTTTTAGGAATGGAATTGCTTTAAATCTGCCGCAGTCAGGCCGGATCTGATCTCTTCTGTCAGCTTACTAGCAAATACCTAACAACGTATGTACCGGCAGGGTCTGGTCAACTCGATGAACACCTTTGTTTCAATTGAATTGAGTCCCAGAACACCGTGTTCACCAATTTTGCCCAGGTACCGCGCCCCAGTTTGGCGCTGGCCAGGCCCACTGCATGTTGTTGAAGCTTGTCGAAATTTGCGCAGGTGCCATTGAGAATGTTTCAGTCGGGTTGTAGCATGGGCCAGTGCTACCTAGGTCCATAAGCTCGGATGTATACGAAATACCACCCGACTCTACAGTCTCACAAGATTCTATCTTTCTTTCACTCAAACGCGATAATCTTTGTGTGACGTACGTAACAAGCAAGGGGGGTTCAGCGTGTATGGATGCTGCTTTGCGCGCGTCCCATGCTTGGAGTACGAGTTCTGCGAACATTGCGAAGAAAGGATTTCTAGGCCTCGATTCCATGGGATTGTCCTTATTGTGGAGGCTCTCAAAGCGAACAGAGCAATTGTCGCACATGGCTTGCCAGGCCAAATCCGCGTGGTTTGACAGCGGCCGTCGTTTCAAATCTTGGATTAAGTGGACGTAAGCGGGGAAGGGAAAGTGTAGGTATATGATCCATCGAAAAGCTTTGGTCAGGGGGGAGCCCATCAGCATTGTATCGCATTCCAGCATGGTGCGAGCATGTGTAAGACTGACACCGTGTTGTTCGTCGGTCTCATTCTCGGGATTCGGCGACCGCGTTGCCAAGTAGTGTGCAAACCGAGTTTTTGCAATGAAGACACGCGTCCACCATATTGTCATAAAGTGGAGCGGGATTTGGGGATCACATTGCGAGAGATATTTGCTCTCCAAGACGGACTCGAAATGTGCAATATCCTCCAATTCCGAGCAGGAACCGGACGGTGGCTTCTTCACAAGATTCTTCATGATTGGGTTGATGAAGTCTAGATGAGAAGGATTGTGCCGGATGAAGTCGCCAAGCTTGCAGCGCACCACGGCGAACAATGCTTCAGATATATTGCTAGACTCAGTAGGTGGAGTCTTCATTTCATTGCGCAAGCTGAAATCGTTTACATTGTGGGGAGTGCGGCAATCCCACGTAGGTATGAGCGTAGCCATCTTGAAATCCGTCATTTCTGCGATGCGGCTGTCAAAAAGCACAAGGGACCACCACAACCGACGTCGCTGGTGAGAGTCAGCATCAAGATGTATACGTGTGTGTCCTTACGTACCAGTTCGGCCTCAAGAACAGGATGTCTCGCATTTGTGGCCTCTGAATCGATGCCCATGCGCTGAGCAATACGAATTGCAGTGCCTAACAGGGACGACAATGAACGCGGGTCGACCTCGGGCTTGAGCGTGAACTGAACTCATCAGATGACTACTAGATGGCAGGCCCAATCTTTCTCTAACTTACTAAGTAGAGATGAAGGGCAGTTAAGCACTCACGATTGCTCGATTTCATGAATCCGCAATTGAGCAATGCTTCCCTGGCCCCCAACTGGTAGCCCCTGAGAACCTCGATTCTAGGCGCACCAAACATGGTTTGACATTGATCTTGGTCAAGACTAGAGACAGCCATGCAGTATATTGCAAACATGAGAGCTTCCAAGTTGGGTTCGATTTTGGTCACATCGCCAGCAGCATCGATGATGCGCGCTTGGAGAGTAGGGGTGTGTGTGAGCTTCAAGATTGGGTCTACGTTTTCCAAGTATAGCTGCCAAAGTTTGAAGATTTGCGTCTGAGATGGATGTAGAGCCGAGAGCTCGACCCCGACAGTTCGTGAGCAGAACAAGAGGTGATCATTACGGTATAGTCCCTCGGCGAAAAGGTCGTCCCATGCCTTGACGATTTTTTGTGGCTCGAGGACGCGGTCTGTGGGGTCAGTTTCATCAGACTCATCATCACTTTCCTGGCTTTCGCCGTCGTATGGATACTGCAACTTTGCACGTGTCAGTGCAATCACTGCGTGGACTTTTACAAGCTCACCTTGCGCACCATGGCACTCCAAAAACTCCTGAGTAAAATTAGTAATACGATAGTAGTTGATTCAGGGCGAGCCCGCATACTTTGCTTGAGTGGACTCGGTCGCCAGACTTGGGCGTGACAGCTCGGCAATATTCTGGGTAGTGTGTTTACCTTGAGTGCCAGCTACATGATTACTACCTATAGCGTCTGGACCGGAATAGCGGTTTGCCTGAGAGGCATGCAGTGGCTCGAAGGGGATATCGTGCTCTGTCAAGAGACGCTCATAGTGGCGAAGACGATCCAACAACTCTCGCTCAGGGAATCTGCGGCGTCTCTGACGAGGAATGGTTGCAGCAGAGACGCATTGGACCCCTGATTTTATACAGTTTGAACATGGAGATCTGCGATCACATTTGACTTTGCGTTGAGCGCATAGAATGCATGAGAGAACCCGCTGTGGCTTGGCTGCGGGGGCGGGTAGAGGTGGAGGTGGAGCAACAGCACCAGGCTCAGGCGTGGGAGAGTCTGATGACATTGTGTGACAAGCAAGCTTTGTGCCAAGACGGAGATGGAGATGGACGAGAACCAAGGGCGAGGAGAGTTCATCGAAAGCTCATCAGGGGCCGGCGGTGTTGAGTATCAGGCAACCACTCCGGCCTGCTAGACCCGAAGCTGCTTATCTCCGGTGCGCGCGTGCTTGTGTGCAGAAGACAGCCCAGGTGTCGTTTCCAGAAGAGGCATTATTATCGACGGACGCCATTACTAGCAACAAGCTAGCTACTCTGTAGACGCACTGTGGTGATGATGAAGAACGTGCTTCGCAGCCACATTGGGTGGCGCGTTATTGAGCAATGGTTGGTACATGCGCATGTATGTACATGCATACATAACATGCGTATTATAGAAGAGCGTGGGCTTGACACAGCGGGTAAATGGCACACTCGCAGTAGGCATCCAGGGGAACAGCAAGTGTATACTTACTCGCCTTTCTCTTCTTGTGAACATGTACGTGTGTAGTACCGTAGATAGTATTACATTGGCGTCAGCAATACTGATGACGGGGTCCAAGGCAGACGCTAGACCGGCAATAGCCGTTGGCGGTGCTTTTGCATGGTCCTCCTTCCCCTGGGCATCCCCGCCATTATCACACCTTAAGACCCGACATCGGCCGAGATGTGGATAGCAAGAAGTAAGCCCTACACAATAAGATGACATCAACCAGTGTTATAGTAGTATCATGCGGGAACCCACCCAGACTATTTCAACGCTGAAATCGGGCCTTTAGCAGGCAACATGGCCTTTACCGTACTATCCGACGCTGATATCAGGTCTCTTCTTTGCAACCTAAGCCCAGTCGACGCAGAGAAGCTCACATCACGCCTCAACCAGGCTCTCTCACAGTACTCGTGCAATGACGAAGCTCCCTACCAACCACACCGCGCCCAGGTCACGCGTCCAGATGGGCAGGTCAGCCTGTTCATGCCCGCCACGACACCTTCGTCCATTGGTGTCAAGATTGTTGGTGTCGCCCCATCCCAGGCCCCCCCTCCAGGCGAGAAGCCCAAGCCCGCGCTGAAAAGCGTCCTCACAATTTGCGACGAATTGGGCCAGGCCGTAGGCGTGCTGAATGCAGCAGAGCTGACTGCCTTCCGCACTGCTTTGGGAACCATGTTGTTGTACCGATATAGGAAATCCACACAAAACATAGTCGTGTTTGGCGCGGGTAAGCAGGCCGAGTGGCATATCCGACTGGCGGTTCTACTCAAGAGCAGCGACATCAGCAAGATTACCATTGTGAATCGATCTCGGACCAGAGCAGACCAGTTAGTCGAGTCGTTGACAAGAGCGGGACTCAGTTCACATATCCAAATCAGAGTCTTTGAGGGAGACGAAGATGCGTTGAAGAGTCTGGTCAAGGAGTCGCAGGTCATGTTTTGCACAACACCCAGCACTACACCTTTGTTTCCTGCTTCGTATCTATCTTCGGAAGCAGATAAATCTCGCTTCATCTCCGCCATTGGCTCCTACCGTCTCGACATGCAAGAAATTGATCCTGATCTCCTCAGCCAAATCACCACTCCTTCTGGCCTCTTTGCCTCGCAAGTTCACAACGCGTGCATTGCTGTTGACAGCATCAAGGGATGCATGGATGAAGCCGGAGAGTTGGTCAAAGCAGGCGTTGCTACAGAAAGAATGATAGAGGTAGGAAAGATGGATGGATTGAGACAAGACAATGGGGTCAAAAAGTGGCTGGAACAAGGGTTTGTGGTATACAAGAGTGTGGGCGTGGGGGTTATGGACATTGCAATTGGCAAGGCCCTGCTGGAGCTGTCAGGGGAGAAGGGCGTAGGGGTGCGCGTAGACAGCTTCTAAGAATGCTATACATGCAAAATAGCATTCTATGCATGACGGGGAAAATATCGGGTCTGCTACTAGTGCTATAATGGTAGTGTCCATCTCTCCGACATACGGGCGGGGCAGTCCAATGGCGTCGACTCGATTTTGCCCCACCGAAATTTTTGGGTAGACTTTCACCCCGCCATGTGACGACGCGCCCGCCCTTGCTTTTGTCTTCGGACACCCCGCGATTCCCATTCTACACTTTCAATTAGGCGGCACACACAATGGCGGCGAACGAGGATCCGTACCTCATTCTTCCAGGCTCGGCTGCCCATTCCGACTTTCGCCTGCAGCGCCTGGCGCAGGCAATCGGCGCAAAGGAGGTCCGCTCGCTGTGGCTGCATTTTGTCAATCCCCTCAAAGAATTGGCCGAGGGCGAGCTCAAGACGCTGCAGCAAATTCTGCACTATGGCGAGTATCCAGATTCGAATGACCGCCTTGCACAGACACTCCTCGATGCCGTTCACCGTGGCGGCGAGCCGCGGGACAGCGAGACGGTTCTCTTCTACGTCTCCCCACGCGCGGGTACAATCTCGCCATGGAGCTCTCTGGCCTCGATGATTGCACGCACATGCACCCTCGACCAATCGGTAAAGCGCATCGAGCGTGGCATGGTCATCGCCGCCACTTTTGATCGCACCCTCGACGCCGACGAGATCCCCAACCGCGACCACCTCTACGACCGCATGACCCAGACCATCAGCCGCACTGCGCCAAATCTCGATGCTATTTTCGGCGAGGGAGAGCCTGCGCAAGCGACCACCATCAGCTTTGATGAGTACAGTAGCGCCCATGCCGCCTTGGACCATGCCAACAGGGAGCTGGGGCTGGCCATGGACAAGTCAGAAATCGACTACCTTGTCGAGGCATACACCCAGGAGCTGAAGCGAGGCCCTGTAGACGTAGAGCTCTTCATGTTTGCCCAGGTCAACTCGGAGCATTGCAGACACAAGCAGTTCAATGCCGACTTCACCATCGACGGTATGCGCAAGTCCATGTCACTATTTGGAATGATCCGAAACACGCACCAGAAGAACCCTCAGCACGTCATCAGTGCATACAGCGACAATGCAGCAGTACTGCAGGGAGAAGAGGCGAGCTTCTGGGCACCCAATGACCTCACCGGCGAGTGGAACGGCGCAAAGGAAACTGTGCACATCCTCTGCAAAGTCGAGACACACAACCACCCAACTGCAGTCTCGCCATTTCCTGGAGCGGCCACCGGCTCTGGAGGTGAGATCAGAGATGAAGGAGCGGTTGGACGTGGTTCCAAGCCAAAGGCCGGTCTGGCAGGCTTCACTGTATCCGATCTCAACCTGGAGGGTTTTGAAAGGCCATGGGAGCTCAAAGATGTTGGAAAGCCTGCGCACATCGCCAGCAGTCGCGACATTATGCTCGAGGCTCCAATCGGCAGTGCGCAATTTAACAACGAGTTTGGTCGTCCATGCACTGTTGGCTACTTCCGTACCATGCTCATGCGTGTCTTCACAAACGAAAAGGAGTCCGAGATCCGAGGATACCACAAGCCCATCATGCTAGCAGGTGGTGTAGGTACAGTCAGGCCGCAGCACGCACTCAAGGACCCTGATGTTGTGCCCGCTGGCTCGCATCTCCTCGTTATCGGTGGTCCCGCCATGCTCATTGGTCTTGGTGGTGGTGCGGCTTCTAGTATTCAGTCTGGAGAAGGCAAGGTCGATCTTGATTTTGCTAGTGTGCAGAGAGGCAACCCCGAGGTGCAGAGGCGAGCACAGGAAGTCATCGACACGTGTCGCTCCATGGGTGACAAGAACCCCATTCTCTTCATTCACGATGTGGGCGCAGGTGGTCTGTCCAATGCTCTCCCCGAGCTTGTCCACGACTCTGGTCTCGGCGCTATCTTTGAGCTGCGCGAAGTAGACAGTGCTGATAAGAGCATGAGCCCGCTGCAAATTTGGTGCTGCGAGGCCCAAGAACGATACGTACTAGCAGTTGCTCCTGATCAATTGGACCTCTTCAAGCGCATCTGCAACCGAGAACGCTGTGGTTATTCAGTCGTTGGTACGGCTACCAAGGAGCAACGCCTTGTCCTGAAAGATAGGGATTCCAAGGAAAACCCGACTCCCATCGACCTTCCAATGGCCACGCTATTTGGAAAGCCACCCAAGATGTCACGTATTGTCGAAAGCCGAAAGTTGAGGTTGCCAGCCTTCGACAGCAGCCTGTCAATGTATATTCCAGACACGCCCAAAGATGGCTTGATCAACGAAGCTGTCGACCGAGTGCTCACTCTTCCAGCTGTAGGCTCAAAATCATTCCTCATCACCATCGGAGACCGAACAGTTGGCGGCCTTACGGTTCGCGACCAGATGGTTGGCAAGTGGCAAACGCCTGTGGCTGATGTTTCGGTGACAGCTACATCGCTGCTGGCTGGAGTCAAGACGGGTGAAGCCATGACTATGGGTGAGAAGCCCACTCTAGCTCTCATCTCTCCAGCAGCATCCGCAAGAATGGCTGTAGCCGAGTCGCTCATGAACATTGCTGCAGCTAGTCTCTTCGACAGGCTTTCTAGGGTCAGGCTCTCAGCCAACTGGATGTCTGCTAGTAGTCACCCTGGTGAGGGTGCGGCTTTGTATGAGGCAGTGGAAGCCATTGGAATGGATCTCTGCCCCAAGCTCGGCATTTCCATCCCAGTTGGAAAGGACTCTATGAGCATGAAGATGAAGTGGTCAGAGGGCGGAGAGGCAAAGGAAGTTACTGCACCAATGTCCTTGGTGATCACGGCTTTCGCACCTGTTGACCGCATCGATCGCACATGGACACCTGCATTGGAACGCTTTGAGAGTGTTGGTGAGACTATTCTCATGTATGTTGACTTGGCGGCTGGCAAGAAACATCTTGGCGGTTCTGCTTTGGCTCAAACATTTGGCCAGGTCAGCGATGAGGCGCCTGATGTATATGACGCCGATGTCATCAAGGACTACTTTGATGCCATCGATCAACTTCATGAGGCTGGTATCGTACTCGCCTACCACGACAGATCAGATGGTGGTCTCTTCACGACGCTTGTCGAGATGGCTTTTGCCGGACGATGTGGCCTTGAAATCATGCTGGACCATGTCGCGGCATCGAGCGAACCCAAGGATGTCTTGGAAGCGCTTTTCAATGAAGAACTTGGTGCTGTCTTCCAGGTCAGGAAGCAGGATGAGACCGCTTTCAACCGCTGCTTTGCCACCTGCGGACCGCCGCCAGGCATGATTAAGAAGATAGGTCGGGTACCTGAGGCCTCGAAGCAGGACATCTCGTTCTATGTCGGAACAAAGAACGTTTACCGGAACAGTCGGCAAAAACTACAACAGCGTTGGGCAGAGACTTCATACCGTATGCAGAAGCTCCGTGACAACCCTGTCTGTGCCGATGCAGAGTTCAACAGCATTCTCGACGACAAGGATCCGGGTCTATCATACAACCTGACCTTCAAGCCTTCCGAGAATATCATGCCTCTCATGTCCAATCTGAAGTCGCCTTTCACGGCTAAGCCTCGTGTGGCCATCCTAAGAGAAGAGGGTGTAAACGGCCAAGCTGAGATGGCATTTGCTTTCCATCAAGCTGGCTTCTCAGCTATCGACGTACATATGACTGACATCATCTCGGGTCGTGTATCACTGGCCGGCTTCGTAGGCCTTGCGGCATGTGGTGGTTTCTCGTATGGCGACGTACTTGGTGCTGGACAAGGATGGGCAAAATCTGTGCTCCTCCATCCCGAAACACGTAAGGAGTTCCAGGACTTCTTCACGCGCCCTAACACCTTCGCACTCGGTGTCTGTAACGGTTGTCAATTCATGAGCAAACTCAAGGAATTGATCCCAGGTGCAGAGCTATGGCCAAGCTTCGAGCGCAACGCATCTGAGCAATACGAAGCACGTGTCTGCATGGTCGAAGTGCTCGACCCCAAGGGCCCTAATACGCCACCATCCGTCTTCCTCCACGGTATGGCAGGTTCTAAGCTCCCCATTGTCACAGCCCACGGCGAGGGCCGCGCTCACTTCTCCTCCTCGGCGTCTTCACCATCCACACCCCAAACGATGTACAACGAGAACCTCGTATCTCTCCGTTACGTCGACAACTATGGCAAGCAAACTGAAACGTACCCCTACAACCCCAATGGCTCACCAATGGGTATCACCGGTGTACGCAGCGCCGACGGACGCGTGCTGGCACTCATGCCGCACCCCGAGCGAACTATCTTGAAGGAAGTGGCTAGCTATCTCCCCAAGAACACAGAGGACTGGGGCGAACTCGGACCCTGGTCTCGCATGTTTAAGAGTGCTAGACGATGGGTCGGATAAGACAATCGTAAAGGGGTTGAATTACATTGGTTATAGGTTGGCGTTTTGGCATGCATGGTTCTTTGCATCTTCACTTATGATATATGAAAATGATATAGTTACGACTATAGTGGAGATTATTGAATTTATATATTAACAGCTCGCGCAAAACAAAAGATATAGAGTATAACCACATTACCAAAGACTTGCGGTTGCTGGGTTAGATGGAGTCCGTGTTTCGTAATTTTGTCAGTCCTCTTCTAAAGTTCCGATCCAGTGTTCCAAATGTCGTAAGCAGAAAAGGGGCAAGGCAAGATGAAATGAAGTCACTGCAAAGGTCATTTGGAGGAGAGAAGATTTTTGAAGAAGGAAAGTAATATTATTATGCCTCATGTGAAATATATACTAGGAAAACCTCAGTATCTAGCCGAAATACCCGTCGTGAATCCTGGTCAACGTTTTAGTAGCTGGTGTAAGAACCACCGGTGGAACCACCAGTGCTGCCACCAGCACCGGCACCGGCTCCAGCACCGGCTCCAGCACCAGCACCTCCCTTAGCACCACCACCAACAGAGCCACCGACACCAGCACCAGCACCACCACCGACAGAGCCGCCAACACCGGCACCAGCTCCTCCCTTGGCACCACCGCCGACAGAGCCACCGACACCAGCTCCAGCACCTCCACCGACGGAGCCGCCAACAGAGCCACCGACACCGGCACCAACACCTCCCTTGGCACCACCGCCGACACCAGCACCAGCACCTCCACCGACGGAGCCGCCAACACCGGCACCTCCGCCAACAGAGCCGCCAACACCAGCACCTCCGCCAACAGAGCCACCGACACCGGCACCAACACCTCCCTTGGCACCGCCACCGACACCAGCTCCTCCACCGACGGAGCCACCGACACCGGCACCACCGCCAACGGAGCCGCCAACACCGGCACCAGCACCACCGTGAGCACCGCCACCGACACCAGCTCCTCCACCGACGGAGCCGCCAACACCAGCACCTCCGCCAACGGAGCCGCCTCCGCCAACAGAGCCACCGGCACCGGCACCAACACCTCCCTTGGCACCGCCACCGACACCAGCTCCTCCACCGACGGAGCCGCCAACACCAGCACCTCCGCCAACGGAGCCGCCAACACCGGCACCGCCATAGCCACCAGCACCAATTCCGCCCTTGACGCCTCCGATGATACCACCTAGGCCACCAAGACCTGCGCTGACTCCGCCCTTGGCACCGCCGACGATGCCACCGACCAGACCGCCGAGGCCAGCACCGGCGCTACCACCGACACCAGCGCTGGCACCGCCATAGCCACCAGCACTGGCACCGCCATAGCCAGTCTTGCTGTAGGTGAGGAGTCCACCGAGACCAGCACCGGCATTGCCAGCGCCGCCGACCAATCCGCCAAGGCCAGCACCAGCACCTCCATTGGCGCCTCCGTAAGCACCTCCACCAACGAGGCCACCAAGGCCAGCACCTCCGCCGACGAGTCCGCCGAGGCCAGCACCAGCACCGCCGTGGGCACCGCCGCCAACTAGGCCACCAATTCCGCCCTTGGCACCTCCACCGAGGAGAGGAAGTCCAAGTCCCCAGCCGCTGCCGCTACCGCTGCCGTAGCCTCCAGCACCACCAGCGGGAGGAGCAGCACCTCCGCCGTAGGAAGCACCGCCGGAAGGAGGAGTAGGAGTGGAGCCACCTGGGCGACCTCCAGCAGGAGGAGCAGGGCCAGAGCCTCCAGCAGAAGGAGTAGAACCAGAGCCTGGCAGGTCGTCGTAGGTAGGACCGCTGCTAGCAGGAGCGGTGGTCAATGGGGCAGATGGCTGAACACCTGAGCCGCCGCCATAGCGTTGAGGGTGAGGAAGAGCGGAGACGATGCTGGTAAGAGCCAAGATCTGAGCAGTGTGGTACTTCATGTTTGCTGATTTCGAGTTTAGAGATTCTTAGTTAAAAAGACGATAGTCGAGTAAATCGATGTAGATTGAGTATTGCTTGGGAATTGAAGATAGCGAATGTGAGTGCACTGCACAAACGAAAGACTGTAGGAGAGTGATTGAAGTGGAAAGCGAAAGTGTAAGATGTTGTGATGCTTTTTCTTCGAGGTCGGACGAGTCCATCTTATACTCAGAGATGCCCCCCCTTCAAGACAGTCGACCAGTACATCCACACCTGTTGTGGCGTCGGGCTCATGCTGGAGCTATTCTGGTCTTGTTTCGAAACTTGGCTCCCGCATCGAGCTACTATCTTTCGCACGAGTAGTGCCAAAAGAGGGACAGTCAGCCAGGGGTCTAGACTATGGCCGTTTCAGGCAATCAGGCTCTCTCTTTTGCAACTGTGCACTGCCGTGTTCTGTGCGATCGACGTAGTGTACCTGCAGGATAGAGCCCGGATGTGCTGCAGGGGCATGCGATGCGGGTTACTTCCAGCCGAATATTGTCGGTGGAACTGGCCCCAGCTTTTTGTCCGGCAAAGACTCATGGGCGATGTTTAGTGCCTGCTTAATTTGTCACTTTTTGACGATCTGCCATGTATGCAAGGCATTGAGATCAGCTAATACGGCTATCGAGTAGGCGGGTGTCTCCGTTCCCTTGCTTCGTGGAGTTGCAGCATCGTGCAGAGTTGATGCGCATCAGCTATTGACGTGAAGACGTCATTCATCGGACAATCTTTGTTCATCATGAGGAGTTTCCGATTGCAAATGTAGATTGGGTTGTATAGACAGAGCTTTGATGCATCTCGCCCCCTTTCAAGGCTGCCACGGCTGTCAGACATGTTTCTTGGGTTACAGTTCGGATACGTACGGAAATAATTTTGGGCGCAGATTTCCGTGGGCATCGTGTGCCTGCAGGGCTTCACATGGCGATGGAATGAATTGCCGGGCGGGTGACCGTGCCTGGGTAGAGAGTCGTACAGAGAGCAAGAGAGAGCAAGGGTGAGGCTCTGTGCACTGTGGAGTCGAAAACATCAAAGCTTTCGGCTAGCCGCTTACGTCGTACTTGCCGGCCAGAAGGTTTGCATCGTCGTTTCTTACACTCCTTCTGGCCCTGCGCCCACTATGCCCACGAATGAGATCCCCGCGTCGTTCTCGCAGCATGCTTGTCCCATGATTTTTCACTATCGTTTCACAGGGCATGCTCCGAGCTACCGGGCCCCACGACGCCCCGTCGTATGACTACCCACGATTTGGTCTCTCTCCTTTGACTCCAATGTCTCTAGTCAAAACCCTAGACAGGAACACGGCGTTAATGCAGAGTCTACCTCGAAACACATGGTCCGTTCTTTATGCTGGAATTCAGACCAGATCGACATGTACGTGGATACAGTGCCCTTCTCGCCACTGCGGGAGGTGACATTGCGCAAGCCTCAACACCAGGACCATGACGGCATTGTGAAACAACTTTACGCATTGTTCAGAAGAGTTGCGGGTTACGAGCTGCAGATACAGACAAATATAGAAGTTGAACAAAACCTCCACCACGCTGGCCGCCTGAGTCTCCTCGGCTCATGGCACATACTAGCATCTATCAACCTGACTCACAGCTGCCAACTTTCTAGCTATGCTGCGCGGCTTCCATCACCAGCAGCCATCGATGCCGTAAGAGAAATATTGGTCATGAAAGATCGACTCTCATCAAGGTTCTGGCTTGTTCCGTTAACGCAATCATCACACGCTTAGAAAGAATCCTGCCAAACTATTGTTTTGGGCAGATTTAATTTACCAATTATCCTCGTAAGTGCAGGACAAGTAAGTATGCAGGTCCCCGATCGGCCAGCCTCGCCCATACCGAGAGAGAGAAATCTGTTACGAATGTGTCAGCGCTCTAGTGGCCCTTTTTCCGCCAACAGCTGCCAGAGTTGTTGATGTTCTGGTCGCCATTTGGAATGACGAGCCAGTGCCCTCTTTCAACGACGGTGCCTGACTAGGCCCAGCCAAGCGCAACGCTAGACAATATGGTCCCCCTAATGTGTGTTTACGGCGCGTTAGAATCTCACCGCTATGCCAATGCGTTTTCTTTCGGCGCCATGCAAACGATGAAATGTCAGCACCTTCTCTTCTCAGGAGGTGAGATAGGAGAAGGCGTGCGAGCACGCAAGAAAAGTCTGGGCGTACGCCTTGCTCTCCACCCATTTTTTTTCTTGGACGTTCCAGACCTCTCACGGCCCTTTCAGGCTGATCACGCCTTGGTATTGACAAACATGCCAAATACCTTTTTGTTTACTGCCAAGAAAACTGCTTCGGCGGCCTGCATATGCTTTACAAAGTTTGATGAAGCCAAGATGTCCATTGCTAGGTTTATACGCACGACTTCGCAACTTCCGGTGCATTGGACCCTTTTTTTTCTCTTAAAATGTTATCGGGATCCGCAAGATGCCAGCAAAAGTCTATCGTGTTAGTTTATTTACTTGCCTCTTCTAAACACCAGCGGTGAGGCTCTTGGCTCAGGAATCCCTAGACAATGCTGTTCTTGGATCTCGTCGTCGTCCGGCACACTGGTCAAGGGGTATATCGATCTTCGGAGTGCCAGCAAGGAAGACTTGAGTTTGACTGATTGATCTTCCCGTGTGTTTGTTTGCTTGCTTTTTTGCCCTGCATCCAGCATGTTAACTTTACCACTACCCATTAGTCTATCAAGCTAGAATCGTGATAGATCGTCGTTCAACCCATGTACGTGCAGATTGCGCAAGGTGAGATTACGACGTTGCAGTCGCTGTTCCCGGGTGTAATATAAAAGGCCAGGAGAGGTTGTGTGATGCTGCAAAAAAGGCATCTATGACGTGTACATGTGTTGCTTTGGTATCTTGTTATGATGCACCAATTCTGTGCTATGGATGGTGATCAGTGATCGACGTGTGATAGTGCGCGTAGGTGTTGGTGAGGTTCCCTGGGATGTGGGAGAGAAAGGGATGGAGGGTTTGAGAGGGGACTGCTGGGTGGGATTATGATTTTCTCTGGGAAGTTGGGTTGGAGACTTGTTATCAGATACTAGGAAAATGTTTGGAATTGTGTAGCTTGTGGTTGTTGCATTAATGTTCTTTTCATTGCTGGTTTGAAGGCTGTTGAGGTACCTGTGTAGAAATATTGTAGATTGACACGTGAAGTTGGAAACTTATATGTGCCACCTTTAGCAAGGAACTCTACAGTACTGGTAGTCAATAGATTAACATGTGATCTTCTGAAAATTATTCTAGTCTTGGGGCTTTTGTGATGTACTATTTCGTAGATACAAATACTGGTTGGCGATCTAGAATAATGAGGTTGTTTAGCGAGAAGAAGAAACAACAGAGCTACGGGAAAAGAAAATATTTTCCGATCAAGTTCCACCTGCGATGTATCTGCAAGGTCTTTTACATGAATACAGGGGACTTTTGTTAAGTTGGCCTCGAATTGGTACTCAGGAGGAATATATTTTGTTTGCCTCAATATTCAACTCTGTCTTTGTTCTTAAAATTCGATCAAAATATCTACAATAATAGAATGTTGCATTACTCTCACATGAAAGTACATTAAGAGCAGAGATTCATGTAGATTCGGTAATCATGCAGTCTTAATAGCAATGTTGTTGATGGGGTGATTTTTTGTAGTTCTTCAATAAGAGAATTAATTCAAACCCAGGCACTCGGATACTTCGCTGCTCAGTGTGTCTCAATTGTATCGAATGATTGCAGTTGATGTCTCTCGTAGAGTAAATATATACAAAACGACAGTTCAGTCACGAGCAGCTGTTGTCTGTAGAGAGCACGATCATTATTTAAGAGTAGATATAGTTATAACGTGTTTCACCACCGAGCGCCGCACCCCACCGAGCGCCGCAGTTCCCCCACTAAAACAACGTCCCA